AACTTGATTAAGGCTGCGACTAAAGATTATTTCGCAAATTGATTAATCTCTCAAATTTTTTTTCGATTAATCGATTAATAATTGGATAGCAAAAGGCTAATTAAAGAACGCTTTTTATGAAATTATCAGGTGAAACTTAAGCTTTTCCACTTGAGGAGTTCTGGATAGAGCATATTAATAGAAGAAAAACTTTTTTATCTTAAATGCAAAATTTTTATATATTTTATTACAATTTTGGTATAATCACTGCTCTAAGTCGGTTTCTCTGTCAGCTAAAGGCATGTTAACGATTAATCGATTACTAAATTAGTTGATTATTTTAATAATCGATTAATCACGATTAATTGTTTCAGCCCTAAACTTGATACACCTAGTATGACCCATTTTGTTAAATATTTAACACAAATCTTTAGTTACGATGGATGGGAAAGAGGCGAAAAGGCAAATAACCAATTTTACGCAGTTTTAGCTCAACTGTTATAAAAAACATCTCCAACACCAAACTCAGGAAGCTCAGACAGTTTTATGAAGCTGAAAAGATACTGACTGCTGATACGTGCACCACAGAATCCCACTTCCAACATCTGAACCTTCTCTGTACAGAATAATGAGGATGCTCTGATTACTGAGTGTGGTGTCTTTAGAGATCACTTGGCGTTCTTTATCTCATATAGCTGAACAATAACAGACTTTTTCCAAAAGGTCCTGAGTGTTTACGGCTCGTGAGCTTACACAGATCTACATGGAGACCCTGTGAATAAAACCAACACCGTGGTAAATCATATACTATATTTATAAAGCTGATTTGTTTTTACTAAAATCAGATCAAGCACCAATGGCCTGAAAATAGTATCATCAATGAAATTTTGAGAATGTCATTGATTTTTGTATTTAATTAAAACTATTCTTTTTTCCTTATGACTATATTATAACATAAAATTTATTTTTTGGCTGAAATTATCCAAAATGTTGCTGAGCAACAGATAGTTTTTTGATAGCTTTTTTTTTTTTTTTTGTTAATTTAGCAAGTAATATGAGTAAAGTCTTTTTTAATTTCACACTTAATTTTAAATTGTTCTATGAAACAAAAAAAAAAGATTATTTTTGCTTTTACAAATCTAAAAATTAAGCTCACATCTTCAGGACACATGAAGGTTTAGCACCTTAGGGTTTTTTGCTGGACTAAAAAGATGGTCCATTAGATGTATTTTGATTTGCTGTGGGGAAGGAATTATACAGAAGCAGAGTGTCTTACAGTAAAAAGCAGAAACTTTTTAGTTATGTTTTTAATTGAATAATCTCTTTATAGGTATGTGGTTTCAGTAAAAACTAATGAGTGTTCTTTGACCAACTGAAACCATTTGGTTTAAGCTGTGTACAGAGGCTAGCAAAACTGTTGAAACATATTGAAATCTTTTGACATTTAGTTCCAACCACAAACATCCATGTATTTCATTGGGCTTTTATGTGGTAAGCCAACAGCAGGTGGTGCAGAAGTGTAAACTGAAAAGGATGCAGGTTTTTAATTTTCATGATAATAAGCTGAAGCAATTAACGAAACAACTGTCAATCATTTCTACCAAATTGTAATAGAACTGGAGATTAGTAGAGAAGATTAGTGATCCAACACAATAGTCACGAGCTGTAAACATTGCAGATAAGTCAGGGATAAAGTGGACAACAATATTGTATTTAAAAAGATAAACATAGTGTGGCACGTTGGAAAAAACTACATAGACATGTCAGCTTAAAGCAGGATATTGTTACAAAGTTGTTTGGATTACAGGATATTCATTTCTTAGAATGGTGATTTTAGATGTCAGGGAAAACAACCAGACTGATGTTGAGAGAAGCTGCCTGTCAAACTGGACGGAGCTTGAACTGATTGGCAAAGGATAATCTCAGTCTTCTGATGTGCAAAGATGGGGAAATAAAAACCCTATAAGATCTGCAGCTTTAATTGTAGAAAAGTTTTGAAAAGACATTGACCTGGGAAACCTGAATGGGCACATATATCACTCTTTCTTGATTTTGTATCTTTAAAATATGTTTTAAAAAAAAAACAACCGTTAAATTCTGCAACTCACTTTGTCGGTCTGCCACATAAAATCCAATTAAAATACACGAAAGCTTAACTATGTGTGAAGAAGTTCGAAAAGATTTAGTGATCTCTTAAAGTAAAAAAAAAATAAAAGTAGAGAAGGTTGTTTTTTTTCAGTCCGAAGTAATAAAAAAACTGAACTCAGGAGCATTAAAACACACTATCAGTTCAGTACAATCGTGTTCTGTTATTGTAGCACAAGTGGGTCAAGTACGAGCAGCCGTTGAGGTAAGCATCATCTAATGTATTTCAGCCAGTTGCGGCTATTTTGCTGCCACGATTAAGAGTGTCACACATACATTTTACAGTGTAAGAATCAGAGAAAAAAAATACATGATGTAGTTAAAATAAGAAAATGAATAACGCCCCCCCCCCCCCCCCCCCCACCCCAAAAAAACAAAAAAAACCCAAAGGTTTTCAAAAGGTACTACGCTCTAAAAGGCAAGTATTTCATCAAGTTGTTGTAAACTATTGGCTGCACTTTAATTCCCAGGAGATCAGAGTCTCACTTCAGTTTTCATGTTTATCAGATACAGTTATTTTCATGAAATGATACTGAATTATCTGTACACCTTCACTGGAGTGTAACATCCTCTAGTTAGGTGTGTGTCTGTTGGTTTGTCGACATGTAGCCCTGGAAGAGATCTGTTGTGTTTATTTGCGCTGTTGCGCTGGTGCATGAGTGCATGTGTGTGTTTTTTGAGGATACAGTATCATTTCTGAGGGAGTGAAGGATAACTTTGCAGGAGGATCTTTTGTCGTTTTTTTTTTTGTGTGTTGCTGAGGTAGAATGCGAGATCAAGAGGCTGAGGCTGACAGAGGTTTTTACATGAGGTCTTTGAGTCAAGGCATACTGTTAATGTCAAATACAGATCAGAATCGCACAACAAACACAGCACCACAATTATTACTGAGTAGATATCATGTTCCTGAATAGATATGTACCTGAGGTTTTCAAAAATGACGTTAAGAGCACTGTTAAAAAAGAGAAATCCTGAGAGTGGTAAAAATGACATGTCAAGTATTTATGAAGGTTTTTTTTTTTTTAGGTTCAAAATGAAATATCCATTTGAAAGTATGTATTGAAATCAGCCACTGACTGCTTGGAAGGATTAATTCAGCGTGATAACACTTAAGCGAGGAGCTGAGGTTAGGAAACAATCAGAGATTTCTCTCTGAAAATGGATATTTCAATTTGAAATCAAACCTTTCACACCAGCTTTCATAATAATGATTTCAGCACGCCATGTTTCTGTTGTTACATTGATGTAGAAATGTCACGTTTAAAACAGCTGATAAGAAATGTTCTTAAAAACTTGGTTCGGTCTAGTTACTTTTGTCTGTTGTTGTTTTTTCTTTTCGTTTTAGCACACAATCCTGCCCATCTCTTTCTTCTGGGTCTCCCTCTCCATACAGCACAAAACATACAGACATGAAGTTTCCGCACATGCAAAAAATCTCATTGGAGAGGCTCAGGACAGCTGGGATAATAAAGGAATGGTTCCAGTTCACGGGAGAAACATTCTTTCAGTTCCTGATAAAAAAAATAGTGGAGGGAAATACTTGTTAATGAACCAAATTTTACAAATTTACTATCAATTCTGCTTTATATTAAAAAAAAGGTTGAAACCTGATATCTGTTGTTACATCTCTCTCTATATATATAAAGAGAGAGAAAGATAGATATCTATATATATATCTATATTTATTCTACTTTCTGCCTTTAAGTAGTTGAAAAATTGCAATTTCTATTTATCTAAGGAAATAAATATATATGTATATAGGTGTATTACCAATTTGTGACAACGTTTGAAAACATACACAATTAGGAACCAGTTGTGGCGCAAAAAAAGCTTGCAACAATGGGTGTCAAAGCATTAAGGCGTACAAAAACAAACTTGCAAAGGATTATTAGCTTGTTGAAATGCAAAGAACCCTACAATGACATGTTTTTTTTAAGCTGATGACGGTGTTTTTGATGGGTGGGAAGGTAAACCATTAGTTAAAGTAGCCTAATAAAAAGGTTAATTGGAAATAACTTATTGGATTTTTTTTTTTTTTAGATAAACATATCAGCTTTTTTTCTTGCTGATATTAATTAGTTTGGTTTTGTTTGAAGTCTGATCAGCCAGTTTTAATTTTTGACTGATTCATAATGTATTTATTAAAGGGTAATAACACACAAAAGAAAAAGGAAAATATGCAGCCTTTTTGACTTTCTTTTTTCATAAACGAGGTCGAAATGTTTTAAACAAACACAAAACAAGGGAGGCATGCATTAAAGCATTTTCCCTCTAAACTATTTTGCAAATAAATGAATCAGTCGATTATTTTTTCGATTAATCGATTATTAATCGATAGCCAAAAAGCCTCCTTAAAAAAGACTTTTTACGAAATTAAACCAGGTGAAACTAAAACTTTTCCACTTGAGGAGTTCTGAACAGAGCATACTGACAGTAGAAAAAAAAATATATATATATATATCTATATATATATATATATATATATAGATAGATATTTTACAATTTTGGTATAATTACTGCTCAAAATGGGTTGCTCTGTCAGCTAAAAGCATGTTTTAGAGTCGCTGTACTCCAGTTTACAATTAATCAATTACTAAATTAGTTGACGATTATTTCAATAATCGATTAACCACGATTAATCCAATTAATGGTTACAGCCCTAGTTTTAATAAAAAATACTGAATTCTGCCGTCTGATAGTACATTCCTTACTAAAAGAGAATGTTCTAATTTTATTTCTGTCCCCTCTCCACATAAAATGCTTCTCCCCCAATTTGGAACCATACCTTTACCAATCGAACAAACAAAGCAATAACAAATCCATGGTGCTGTTTATATTAGGAGAGGAAACTGTGGTCTGTGAGGATTTTCTTTTTGAGCATGTGAGTGTATGTGGGTGTGTGTGTTCCTGATTTCCCATCACAGATAGGGATTCAGATTGTACCCCTGTTTGCTTGAGGCCAAACACTGAGGTAGGTAGAGAGGTATCCCATCTACTCCGATTCCTCCTGCACAGGCACCTGAGATGACGAGGGGCCCTCCGCGGCCTCCTCCGAAGGGCCCTGGAACATCGGAAGAGTGAAAAGGAGAGTCATCAGTTATTATCTGAGAGGTGACTCACCCATCTCAAAGGTAGTGAATCAATGCTAGAAAGAGCACGAGAGTACAAGAATGAGTGGTAAAAAAATTCACGGGGCAATTGCGTGCGAGAGAGCAGGGCTCCAGCCGCCTTAGCTAGAAATGTGAGGAAGACGACCGTTACATCAGGAAACCAAGAAGACAGGGGAAGAGAGCAGTTAGATCAGGTTTCCCCTGCAACACTGACTCATTCTTCCCCTTCATGTGCGTGCCTCTGAGAGAGGAGTCTGTCTCAATGGTTTCAGTTCTTTTAGGCGCCCTAACTTCTTAGTGCAGAGGATGAGATAAGGCAAGCGAGGGGCATAGCTTTGTTGAGCGCTGTTGTGCAACGCTCTCAACAAGGTGGCTTAAACGACAGAGGGTTTCTGAGAAACGCTCCATGCATCTTCTCCAAAGGTGGATTTCACCAAAGGATCTTACTGTCAGCAGCGTGTGGGGAATTCTACACCAGAGCCTTTGAATTTCCAAGAATTCACCACATCAACATCAAGTCATTTCAGAAATCATAAATAATGGAGCTTGTGCTGAGAGACTCTCTGATAGCTGCGCTTATGTACAAATAACAAGTCACAATTCTTATTTGTGTTTTATTGTCAGAAGAAAATAGTTTTCTTCAAAAAAATGTAACATTCTAGGGTGGAGATATAAAGTACTATATTATTTATATAAATATATAAATATATATATATATATATATAAATATATATATATATATATATAA